GCAAGGCAGGAGTGCTGGATGTGCTCCCTTCCTGCACAGAGCTGTGCCAAGGATGAACACGCTGCAAGGCTGCAGTCAGAGGAAAGAAAGGAAACGTGCCTGGCCCCTCACAGGCTGCCTGCAAAGGGTTAAGAGCAGAGAGAAGACAGGAGCTGGCCAGGAGCCAAGGCAAGCCTCCAGCTAAACCCAAGGTGGCCAGCCAAGAGGCAAAGGCTGCTGCCCTCTCCCAGTAACCAGCTGCTCTCCTCCCCCAGTAACCCAGCCTGCTGTGACCCGTCCCCACAAATAGCTCTGGCACCCAGCAGGCCTCGGGAAGTGACAGTGCCAGGCCATTTACAAGGTGCTGCTAAACACTGCTCCTCCAGCTGGGTTCCTTGCTCTGAAATAATTATGTATGAACCCCATAAACGTGATTTTAGCCCTATGGGTCTAAGCAAAAACAGAGTATTTAACACAAGGAGTGTTCTCCCAAGCTTGCACAGCATCCCTTTTCCAGGTGTGCTGAGCAGCTTCTGGCCCAGCTGATTCTGAGCTGTGTTGGATCAGCATGGCCAGGCCCAGGGCTCATTCAGAGAAGCAAAGCTGGATTTTCCTCGAGGTCATGAGAGCCCCCTGCTATCAGCAAGTTGTCCCACTGCTGGCCCACAGCCTGTACCCCACGGACAGACCTGCTCTGCTGAGGTTTTTGAGCTGCAAGGACTGAACTTACCACGGGCAGACACACAAGTTAATCCGGGAGCAGCTCAATGCTCTGCCCATCACATCACTGTGTGGCTGGCAGGGAGCAGCCACCAACCAGCTGACATCAAAATTCACATTTAGACATTGAAGAAGCTATAAAGATGACACGCAGTTGCAAAGGGAAGAACCACTGGAAATCAAGTAGAGTGATCACCACTGTGGTTTTAAAACTTCTGTTTAAAAGAAGAGAAAAACCCCTTTTCATTTGGCTTTGATTACTACAGACTTTGAGAGCTCATATATTACTTCCTCATGTTTGCAGAGGAGAGGGAAGTACTCATACCCCTATTTTGCACCAGAGAACTGAAACACAGAGGGAATAACTTGCCATCCCAGCTTATGTCAGAGGAGAGGAATGAATCCAGGTTACAGAGACCCTACTTTCTCCTTGGAATAGCATCAGATAGCCTTGAGTTAACCCACATGCCCATCAAAATCCACTGTGTCCTGTACAGCAGGCAGACCCAGAGGTTTGACAACCCATCACCTCCCTGGGGCTACGTGAAGCACTGATGGACCCAGACAAGAGCTGCAGGCCTGGAACAGCCAGTGTGACCCAGCACTGAGCCTTTCACAAGCTCTGCATAAACACCAGCTCAGGAAGAGCAAATGCAAACCACATTTCCACAGATCTTTTCCCCAGCTGAAGGGATCTTGCCCTGGGAAAACAGCTGAAGGAGAGGCCAAATCCAAGGGTCTGAGGGTCAGCTTTGAAGAAACAAAGGGTGGGAACACTAGGTTTAATATGGGATTGATCTGGTGGGGGAGAAAGCCAGGGAGCAACAGAGCACAGAAACAGGCAAAAAGGAAATTTACTTTGGACCCAATCCTACAAACTGAACGCACGAGAGCTTTGTGGATGCTGCTCCTCACCTTGGCTGCTCAAAGGTCCACCCACAGCCACCGACAGACAGGCAGCCCTTGTCACCCACAGCATGGCTCTTAGGTGAAAGAACAAGGATGGAGGTCAGGTCACCATGAGCAGGAGGGAGTAGGGAGCGAATCCTGCACCGCTGCTCCTCCCAAAGCCTCATCCCCGCTCTGACGTGGGGCTCTTGGGGGAAGCCAAGCAACTGAGCAACCCTTGTTCTGCAACACAAACCTGGCCGCTCAGCCCACACCTACCAGGGGACCGGGCTCCAACCTCAATCCCGGACACAGGAAAGCTGCCCCACAGCTCAGGAGGGGCAGCACATCCCCGGCTGCAGCCCCACGAGGAAGGAACCAGACCACCCGTGCGCCCACGCTTGCCCCGGCCGGGCCGCGTCCGCGCCACGGGGGAACTCTGCCAGCACTGCCGGTGGGCCCAGGCAGCCTCCAAACTGACAAACAGGTGGCTTTCAACAAGAACAGCCCCAGCTGGATTTGAACTGGTGCCCGAGCACAGAAAGCTCCAAGTTTCATCCTCAGCCCCCTCAAAATTTTGAGATCCACCAGGATCCGCGTAAGGAAAGGAAGAGGAGCCTGTACACGGAGTCCCTTCGTTAGTGGCTTTCTCTGCTGCTCGGTGCGAACGTGCACTTTAGGGAAGAGAGGACAGAGGGGGGATCTCATTAATGCATATAAATATCTCCAAAGGGTGCCAAGAGGATGGTGCCAGACTGTCTGGTGGTGCCCAGTGACAGGACGAGGAGCAACGGCCATAAACTAAAACACAACAAGTTTCACCTCAACACGAGGAAGAACTTCATTACTCTGAGGGTGGCAGAGCACTGGAACAGCTGCCCAGGCAGTGTGTGGAGTCTCCCTGTCTGGAGACATTCCAAACACACCTGGACACATTCCTGTGTCTCCTGCTCCAGGTGGCCCTACCTTGGCAGGGGGGGTTGGACTGGGTGATCTGCAGAGGTCCCTTCCAATCCTATTGTTAGAATTGTTTCTGGGATTCTGTGAGCAGGGAACACCAGACCTGCCTTGCAAGACCTCCCAGCAACAAACAGGATGAGAAGATGCAGTGTTACCCCTTCCCTTCAACAGACCACAAGGCCAAAATTAGGGGCAAAATAATACAAACATGCACAAGGCAGGGCTGAAAGAGCTTATCAGACCACTCAGCCCCACGCCATGAAACTCCCCCTTCCAGATCCCTGCTGGATGGCTTTACCAGTGTCCTCTAAGCAGCAAGCTGTGAAGGTGACACCAGTGTCACTGGGACAGCCCTGGTGGCCGCAGCTGCCTGCTGGGAAGCCAGGACACGAGGGATTCCCACAGGAACCCAGCCAAGGTTCAGGCTGGGTGCTGCACTCTCCCATTCCAAGAGCCAGGGTCTCCTTTTGCCGAGGCAGGATCAAAGTCTGCCCAGCCATCCCTAGTCAGTGTGTTAATTGGGACATGCTGGGGCTTCCATCACAACCTAATGCTGTGGAAAAACAAGGGTGGCAACTGCCTCATCCCCTTGTCCCCTCTCCTCCTTTCCCCAGAACTGGCTTGCTGCCCACCCTATTGCTCACCACTTCTGCAGATTTCCAGGACTCACAGAAGCGTGAGGGATTTTATGTGCACTTAAACAACATCACATCCTTCCTCTGCATCCACCCTTCCCTCTTCCCCCTGTTCCTTTCCACGTTTCCCAATCTCCTCACCAGTCAGCTTGTTTTCCCAAACCTTAAATTTGAGCCTAGAATTGCTCCTGCTCTTATTTATCTTGACAAGAAGATGCTCGTGATTTCAGGCAGCCCTTGTCCTACAAACCTTTTGCTGTCCCAAGGAACCTCCCTGGGCTCTCCTCATCCCAACCCTGTGGTATCTGAAGGAAGAGCCTGTCAACTTTCCAGACAAAATCTGACGGAACAAATATCATGGAATCACAAAATGGTTTGGGTGGGAAGGGACCTTAAAGCTCATCCAGTTCCATCCCCTGCCATGGGCAGGGACACCTTCCACTATCCCAGGTTGCTCCAAGCCCCGTCCAACCTGGCCTTGGACACTTCCAGAGATGGGGCAGCCACAGCTTCTCTGGGCAACCTGTGCCAGGCCCTCACCACCCTCACAAGGAACAATTTCTTCCCAATATCCCATCTAATCTTGCCCTCTGTCAGTGGGAAGCCATTCCCCCTTGTCCTGTCACTCCATGCCCTTGTGAAAAGTGAAATGAGCATTAAAATTTCCATCTCCATTGGTGTTCACTCATGGCAAAGCTGAAATGCAGTAGATAAGCAGGCTCCTAATGTCAGGTGCTTATCAGAGCCATCTCCTCAGCTTTTTTTACTCCCAGAGAGATCCCAGTGTACAAGGAAGGAGAGGAACAATGAGGGATACCCTGTCCCACCCATAGAAACCCGAATCAACAGAAATGCCACGTCAGGGGAAGAGAGGGAGACACACACAGAGAATGCAGAATGGTGCTGGCATTTCAGGGAGCCCTTTTTAGCTCTGCCAGGAAGGTCAGAGCCAGCACAGACAACTCCAACACAATGAGGTGCCCAAGCTAAATATAAACCCATCGAGAGCACGGGTACAGGAGTTTGTTTTTACAGTGAGCTGACAGACCATCAATACTGGGCCACATCCCTGCTCCAAATAATTCCCAGCTTTATCCTCACTGCCAGTCTTTGTGTTTTAGCAGAGAGGCAGAGCCCAGGCTAAGTCAGTGGAAATGATTAACTGAGAATGAGAAATACCCAAACTTTTCCATTTCTATTATGCCACTCTAGGAAAATCTATGATGTTCCTCTCCTTTGATGGGGCCACCTCATTAGGGAGCCCTTATCTGACTTCCTCACATACACTGCCCTTAATGTTATATTAACTGCTATAAACACCACAGCACTCAAGCCCCCAGTCCTTTCCCAATATACCACTTGACAAAAACTACTTTTCCTTAAACCCAGGTCACACATTGAGGTTTCTACACTTTGCTCACAGATACCATGATTTGGTTGAGAAACTGGTTTTGCATTACTCAGAAAAAGTAAGGAAAGGTGACATTTACCCAGCAGAGCTATCTCAGTTCTGCTTCTCAGAACTGCAGACATTTCTAGAGGAAAGGGAGCTCTTGAGGAAGAAAAAACCCGAGGTGTTAAAAGCAAGGAAAAGAGAACGTGCAAGAACGAAATTACCAAGTTAGAGAGAAAATATGCTCCAGCCCCAATGCAGACAGAGCTCAGGATGCTATTTTTAAATAGCAAGAGAGAAAACCACGATGCCAAGCCAGCAGCACATTTGTTATTTGGTGCCCTGGGAGACACTCGTGTGGCTTGGTATTTAAGTTGGTATTTTCTTGCTAGGCTTATGTTACAGCAGAGGAATCATTTCCTTACTCTCCAGCATGTACTTCTTGGCGATGGGCAGAGGGAGCAGCCGGATGTGGCCGATGAGGGAGCCCCAGGCCTGGGCTCTGGAGAGCGGAGCTTCAGGAGGCAGCGGGTTGTAGGGCTGGATCACGAAGTAAACAGTCAGCAAGACCAACCCCAGAGTGAGCAGGCCCTGTGAGGGAAAACAGGCACAGAGTTAGCTATCCTGCAGGGAGTCCTCAGACCAGGACACACCTTCTGGCTGCGTGGCTGCGAGGTGAACACTTGGTATTTTTGCTGTGGCTCCCCGTTCAGCTGCAGTGCTGTTTATGTACAGAGCTGTCACTCAGCTTTATTATTAGGGATGAAATTAAGCAGCCTTCAAACCCAAACCACACAACCCTGCTCCTGTATTTCGGCACTGCAAATAATCCAGCAGGAGATCAATGAGGATTATCTACAGATAGTTCCGATTCCTCCCACCTAATCAAATAAAAACTTGCACTCCTGCCACCCCTCTTACACGAGGAAAACCCCGTGGCTTTCGCAAACATCCGTCGAGCCTCGAAACACTTTGGCAGAGTTGGCACCAGCTCCCTCCTCCATACCAGAATCCCAAATTAAGCCTCCCAGAGATGAGGTGACGCATTTCTACCCCCCACCCCCCCACCCCCCGGCCAAAGTCAAACTGAATCAACAGCAAAAAAACAAGAACAGAAGCTGAAAGTTCAAATTTGCCGTTCCCTGTTCTCCTGCCTCATTTCAGGGCTTTTTATAGGACATGAGGAAGAAAGCTTGGATTTTTTTTTTTTTTCCCACAAAGAAACCACTGTGATGGTTTTGTAAAGATGACATGAAGTATTACTGAGTATTATGTCAGTGGGAAGGTCTTAATCCTTGTAGCAAACACCTGCTCTAGTGGAAGGTGTCCCTGCCCATGGCAGGGGCTTGGAACTAGATGATCTTTAAGGTCCCTTCCAACCCAAACCAGCCTGGGGATTCTGTGATCTCAAACCTACCTAACAATAGCATCCTTTCACCCACTTTGCAAAACTTGTTACAGCATCTTTTAGTTAAGGCTTTCAAAACATTTTTTGCCTAGCATCAAGCGTGATGGTAACAGGTTTATTTTATAGACTAGAAGGAGAATAAAGGCAGGTAGAAGAAGCTTGTGGCAGGGTCAGAGTTGGGTTCATTATTCAACCCTGAACTTCGAGAACTTCCTTCCTCATATTTCCACTCAGACTGCCAACACAGGGAATCTTTACCTGAAAAATGAATCAAAGTCTCATTATTTAATAATTTAAGGGAGAGGAAGGTGTTGACATGGTAAATTTTCAGCACACATGAGCTATTTCAAATCTTGGTCTCCTGTCCTCAAACCAGTTCATGGCACGACGGAAGGAAGCCACGCTTCCCACCTTTTTAAACACAAGATCTTGGAAAGTTCATCAAGAAAATGCAGGGGGAAATAAAAGGCTCAGGTGCAAAAGGAAGACTCTGACCCTCAAATGATGTGTGCGTGCACAGAAGCCACCTTACCTTGTAGAGAGCCACTAAGAGAGGGTACCGTGGAGGGCCCCTTTGGGGTTCGTTCCGTTCCAAGAGCTGCTTGATGAACTTCTCAATGGCTTTTTCTGACATGCCACACTGGTGGCCCGTCTGCCTGACCAGGTCAATCGTCTCTGAGAGCTTGTCATAGATGCTGAGCTCGTTGGCCGAGAGCTCCATGGCCTCTGATGAGAAATCCCTGTGGAAAGATTCGGTGCGTTAGCAGAAATCCCACAGCTCAAGCCCAGCGTGTGCACAGGGATCCCAGCAACATGGCAATGCCCAGGAAAGCAGGAAGGCTTCTCCTGGAGCAAACCTGCTCCCAGCCAACAGCACAACATTCAGCTGCAGCCCTAACAGCCTCTGCTGGTTCAGCATCTCCCGCGGACTCAAAGGAGCCGTGAAATTCCCTGACAAGAGCAGAACCGGCTGAGATTCCCGGCTTATGTAAATGAACAAAGCCTCCCAGAAATCAATGAAACCTCCAGTTATTCATCTGCTCCAAATGAATCCGTCCCATAAAGCGATTGCTCACCCACTACAAAAGCCAACAATACAAAGCTGATCATCACACGCAGCAGCAGCCACGTTAAGCTCTCCCGCGCCGTGATGTTAGTCGCTTATTTTAACCTGGATTTGTTTTCCTGAAATCCCCACTCCCCCCACACAGTCAGCAACAGGAACAGGACAGAGAAACAAGCAGGATGTGCGGGGCAAAGTTCAAGCAGTTTTACAATTTGTTTAAATTTTCGCAACCTGATGTCCAGGCCAACCGATTATTGAGTAACAGCGACCGTGTGATAGCAGCTGCTCTGCAGGCAGCAAAGCTCCCACCTTCCTCTCCCAAATTTGCCTGCAGGTCGTCACAGGCAGAAATGCCACAGAACTAAATACATCAGCAAGAACACGAGCTTGTAAGAACACATCTATGAGCAAGAAAACACCGAATGGCCAAAAAAAAAAAAGAAATATGTTCCTCTCCCACTCGTCCTCTGCCACAAAGGCCTCGCCTTACCAAGAGCAGCAGATGGGCTGAGGAAAAGATGGAAATAAATTGCTGGACAAGGTAAAAAGCTGCCAATGAGAGGATCCCGTTGTTAAAGAGACATTTTGCCTTGGAAAAACACCGCTGGGGGAATGGTAGAACCTGTCAAGTTTTGCTTTGCCTCTTGTTTCTGAGCTGGGTAACTCTAGTCTGGTCTAAACTGGGGCAACTGGGGAGAGAGAGTTTAGAAATGTTCTGCCCTGAAAGCACAGGCTGAGGACCAGCACGTAAAAACACAAGAAGGACAATCAATACTCACAGCTGGAAATCAGGCCACTGCCCCCCTTTTGCTCTAAGACTACCTGACCTCAGGAACCAGCTCATGCTGACAAGCCTGGTGTAAAGTGCCACCTAAACTTAGATTTGCTCAGCTGTAACTCACTCTGGCTGCCCCCACAGCACAAATCAGCCATACACCTATGTGTGGATATTCCAAAAAATAAGATGTTCCACTCAAGCAACCAAATTTGAACTCTGATTCGCCTTTATAGCACTGGCCAACAGCTCTCCCCCTAAACCACGTGCTCCTAAAAGTCAGAACTCCAGCAATGGCAATTTTAAAGTATTTTTTTCTGCAGTGCTAGGGCGTAATTTCAAAACCCCCACACTTTTCACAGGACTACCAGCTTCAGCCATTGCTCCTCTCCTCCCAAGATCAGCTCCCTGTCCTGCTCTTGCACACTTGTTTATGTGGTCACATGGTGAATCAGATCAGGAAAATTATCTGGCTGGAAAATAACCCTGATTTGTTTGGTCAGCAGCTGCCTAAGCATCCAACTCCAGCAGTTAATGTCACATGTTCTGTTAACATTAGTGTCAAATTTCTAGCCACAGCCTTACAAACACCAAAAGGGTAAAATGCCAAATTAAAACCTAACCCCAAGTGCACAATGAGAACACACTGCACTACATTGCCAGGTTAATTAGCTCCTGGCCCTCTTCTACCGACATTCCTTGTGTTCCACGCAAATATTTGTCCCAGATCTTACCATCTGAGCAGCCCCATGGGCAAGCAAAGCTGCCCCAAAGCAGGCTGGATCAATAATATCTCATTATAGATTAAGTTCTCCAAGGCAGGGACCTTTTCTTCTGGTCTGTAAAGCACCTGCCACGCACACGAATGATAAAAACAAGTCACTGCTTTACTTTCATTCCTGCAATACCCTGATTCATGGAACAAGCAAGAGCCAGCACATCTGCAGGATGTTAAATGCCCTTTTTTTCCCTGATTACTCCAGTTGCCTTGACGCAGTAACTGCTGTGCTAAATGGTCTGAAAGGTTATCTGGTGTCCTCTGGCTCCCCAGTGCCAAACCTCTCACGTGTGAAGCTGTCCCGTGCCGAATTCCAGCGGATTCATCGAGCTTCCCCTGCCTGCAGGACCTGCCTGGAAGCACTTACAACAATTATCCCCACAGAAATGCTGTCAAACACGGTGGTTTCCCCCTTTCCAAACAGCATGAGAATCCTACTGTGATACAACTAGATATTGCAATATATGGAGCAATATACAACTACAATCCTACTGAGATACATCCCAGTTCCCACTCCTCTACATTTACATTTGTAGACAAGCCACTAAAAACCCAACAAAGCTCCTTGACAGAGTCAAGAGTAACTCAATCCTCAGCTAGGAAATAAGGCATTATGCTCCCACATCGCTGGGAGAACAGATGAGGCCTTAAAAATCAAATAACAAACCCATTATGTCCCTTCCTATCCCCACAATAAACCAGACAAAACCATTAACAACAGGCTACTGTACCATCACACACACTGAGCTGGCCTTATCCCTTGCAAACCCCTCAGAGAAAGGCCTTTAGACGAGGAACCCATATGTTATTCTGTTTTTTTTATGAACTCCACCACCCTGGGAGGAATAAGCAGCCTCTCTCCACAAACAGAAACAGCGATGGCCCTTGGCTTGAAGGGTTTGCACCCAAGAGCCCAGTTCTAGCAGTGGGTGTTTAGTCCAAGGCTTTAGAAGGTAAATATTTCGACAGAAACGCTGCTGGAGGAGTCTTTCCCTTTTAAAGAGAAAGCCTGCACGCCTTGCTGGTGAGCCTACAACAAAAAATATATCTCTATATACACATATAGAAATACCTATCTATGTTTATACACACGTATAGAAATATGTATCTATGTTTATAAACACACGTATAGAAATGTGCACCTATGTTTATAAACACATATGTAGCAATATGTATATATACATAGATATAAATATACAAATATAGAATAAACATATGTATATACATATAGAAATAAGTCTGTGTAAATATATATAGATAATAAAGATATATATAATAATGCATTCTCATCTTAACACCCTTGATGCCGCCCCAGGGTCAGGTCCCAGCCTTGGGCTGAAACCCCTCCGGAGGGACCCTCACCCGGCCACAGCCCCACAGCCCCGCCCCTCTTTCTCTCCGAGCCCCAGCCAGGGGGTTATTTTTAAAAATAAATCCATAAATCGCTGCAGAACACCCCCCCCCCATCCCCATCCCCATCCCCGGGCTCGGGCCTCCACAAGCCCGGGAGCCCCCCCAGGCCCAGCCCACGGGGAGGGGTCGCGGTTCAGCGCTCCGGGACCCCCGAGGATTCCCCCTCCCCGGGCACCCACCCGAGCGCCCCCGGCCTCACCCGGTGCCCGCCCGGGGCCGCCCCGCTCCGCAGCCGGCTCCGGCTCCTCCCGGCCCGCCCGCGATGGAGGCGGGACCCGCAACCACCGCTTCCTCTTCCGCCACGGCCCCGGGAGCTGCCGGTGCCCCCATCACCTCCGGGGGTCCATCGACACCCCCCGTGCCCCCATCGACACCCCCCGGTGCCTCCATCAACACCCCCCGGTGCCCCCATCGACAACCCCCGGTGCCCCCATCGACACCCCCTGGTGCCCTCAACACCTCTGGGGTTCCATCAACACCCCGGTGCCCCCATCGACACCCCCGGTGCCCCCATCACCTCTGGGGGTCCATCGACATCCCCGGTGCCTCCATCAACACCCCTCGGTGACCCTATCACCTCCAGGGGTTCATCAACACCCCCGTGCCCCCAATCGCCACCCCCCGGTGCCCTCAACACCCCCTGGCCCCGGGACACCCTCATCCCCCCCAGTATCTGTGTCCCTCCATGCCCGTGACCATAAGACCCCTCCCTCCCACCCGAGCCCAGAGTCCCCCTGAGGCTCCCCCTGGACGTTTCACCCCAGAACACAGAGACAGCACCCCACAGCACTCGCCTGAATTCATGATTACCCTCAACCCCCCTCCGGCACCAGCCTGAGCCCCCCTGGAACATCAGACCTTCCCAGGACCCACCTGAGCCCATGAACACCTTGAGACCTCCACCTGCACCTGTGTGACTACCCCAGTACCCACAGACACGCCCCAAGAACCACCTGAACCCCCAAAACCCCACCAGCACCTTAAGACGCCCCACACAGCACCTGCATGAACCCCCAGCACATTCAAACACCCCCCAGTAACCAAGACCCCCTGAGCACACAGCACCCCCAAAGCCTTTCAGAGCCAGATCCCACACATCCATAACACCTCCCTCCACCCCTGAAGTTCCCATTATCACCCCACAGCACCCACCCATCACCCCTCCAGCCCTCTTGGAAGCCCCTTCGGGCCCATTTACCTCCTTCAACCCCCCCCAAGGAGACCCATCCAGTGTCCCCCTGAACCCCAGTTACCCCCAGCCCCAGGGATGACATGGATCCTCTTTCCCACAGCTCAAGAGACAAGCAGAGAGCCTGCAGTAAACACTCCTTAAAAACACGTGGGAAAGCCCTAAAAAACTGTGGGAAAGACTTCCAGGAGTAAAGACCTGGGAGATGGAGCAATCAAAGGTCCCTGGAGCCACCCCTAGCGTGAAAAGCTCAGGAGAAAGCAGGAGCAAGAGGTCTCAGGCCCGAACTTTAGTCCTTAATTGCAATGAAATGCATTTTCAGAGGCAGCTGTTGGTTGTGAGACAGGTGGTTTCGGTCTCTCTCTGCTCCCTTTTCACAGAATCCTGGAATGGTTTGGGTTGGAAGGGACCTTAAAGATCATCTCATTCCACCACCCATGTTCCACTGGACCAGGTTGCTCAGAGCAGCCTTGGTTAAGCTTCAACCTTGTTTAAGTTCTTGGCATGAACAACTTCCTGCAGCCCTGAATTCTGCAGCTGAACTAAACACTGGGAGAAAAAGGACTTCCCAGGTTTGGAGTTCCTGCCCTGTCAATCCCAGTGTGGGGAACAGGATGGTCTCCTCATTCTGATTTTACTGCTTTTTTGGGGGAAAGGGGTGAAATTCCGGGAGATGCTGCTGGGCAAGACCCAAAACCCCTGGCTGGGATACTGAAAGCTTTGGTTGAAGATTTGTTCCAACTTGTCAGAAGTTCCTCTGGATTCTCCAAGGTGGATTCATCCATGGGAGTAAACGCCTGCTGGCTTTGGGCTGGTATCCGAGATCTTCCCAATCCTGGCTTGGCTGAGGCAGCTCCTCTAGTTCTTGTGGAGCGCCTTGAGGAATTACAGTTTAAAAGGGAACAACCTGGTTTAAAAAAAAAAAAAAAAAATTCCTGTGGTCCAAATATGCATTTCCCTCTTGCTATTAATATCTCAGGCCTTGATCCTCCTCCAAATGCTCATGCAGGCATTTAAGGGCTTGCAAAGGAGTGGTGCCTTTGATTCCAGAGTGGGAATGTTTCCCGGGATCATGAATTATTAAAGATAAAAGATGCTTTCAAGTGCAACGCGCTACCCGTGTTTTCCAGCGTGATTTATTTGCCTTCCTGGTGCTTCTCCCAACCTGGCAATGAAAAATTCATTTCCAAGTTTCTTGTGGAGGTTTGGAGTAACTCATGCTTTGGGCACAAACTGCAGCCTTTTTTTCTAGAGGTGATTTCCAGTGGAAGAAGACAGACTTTTCTTTCTGCCTGCTGTTCTGGGAAGCCTTTTATTTTTCAGCTCCCACTTTGGGCCCTGCTGGTGGTCCTTCCCTGCAGCAGCAGTGTTGCATTTGTGAGGAATGGCGGCAGCTGCTGCCATCTAATGGGAGATTTCAGCCTCCACAGATAATAATAAAATAAATAAATAAATATATATGTGTTAAAAAAAAATTTTAAAAAAATTTAATAAAATAAACCAAAATAAAACAAAACCTTTTCCTGCACAATCCTGCTACCAACTCAGTGAACCAGCACCTTCCACACTTAATCCTAGCACATTTAGGCAAAGGGAAAAGCTGATCTGGTGGGTGGCTGGGTGGCTTTGCACAGGGAAGTGTTGCAGCCCCAGTAAAAAGAACCTTTTTGGGTTGATCCATCATTTCAGCTTCTCTTGTTGTGGATCAGACTTTATGGATCTTGTTATGATGCATCTCTTCTTAGGGATCAAACTTGCAAAGTACTCTTGGATTCATATTATTTTAAGATATAGAAGCAGAAATAATGAAGATGAGCCTAAACAAAAACAAGAAGCCATTCCAGATATCCCAAATACCAAACCCGGGCACAGCTCTGAGCTGAGCCACATAAACCCTTCCCCAGGAGCTGCTCCAGCAGTAAAAATGTTGTATAAAGAAACATGGTAAAGAGGGACAGACATGGAATGGCAGCATAAATATATTGCATCAAGAAAAGAAAGTATTTAAATGATATTTAAGGGAAGATGAGTTGGGACAGGCTTGGGGAAGACATGAAGGGGATGGAGAATTTAGGGTACAGAGGGCTGGGGGGATAAATTGGGGTGTGCAGAGGAGATAACTCATCCTAAAAGAGTTAGAAATTCCTGTGTCACTGTGCAAAGTTGTACCTGGCTGGTGAAGCAGGGATATATAAAACATATATAATTATATATAAAAATATAGAGTGTTACTAAAAACCCAACTCTTGTTGTCACTTTATTTTTCTAAAGCAGAAACTAGCTACTATTGTGCTTTGCCATTATATTCATATAAATAACAACAAGCAAACCCAATTAGGCAGAATTATTTCCCCTTTACCTGCATATGAACAGAGTCTTTAAATACTCCTGTGGAACTGCTGGGAATTTACACAGAACTGATAAAAATACTAAAGTATAACACTGGTATTCTTATTTATTTAGTCTGTATTCTCATTGTTCCAGATCAAATCCAATCTAATTGCAAAGCCAGACAAGAAGTCCCCACTGCCCAGAACACCAACAGCTTTAAACCCCCTCGTTTTATCCACCTGGGTGACTCCAGGTATTCATTTCTTCTGTCCCAAGGCTTGGTTTTGCTCCCTGCTGCTTCCAGTGTCATTCCAGTATCTCAGATCCAGCTGGGTTCCTTTTCTACCTCTTTCCTTGGTTTTTTTATCTCCAAGAGAAAGTGATAAAGTTTCCCAACAAGTATTTTGGCATGGCAGGGGCTCCTCCCCAGCGCCTTTTGCTCTCAGCATCCAAAGAATATCAGGAAGGAAAACACACAGGGAGCAGAGAAGGTGTCCAAGGGCTATTTTTATGCTTTTCTGGTGGTCTCTGAGGTTTCATATCACGGTGGGGGGTGGTCTGTCCATCACCAGCAGCAGTACTTTTTCTTCTGGGGTGCCTTTGGTACCTCTTCTGCCTTATTTTTTAATTCATCTTCACGAACTTTGAGCAACCTGGGAGAAAAAGAAGCAAATTAGGTGGGTATTTTCCCCATATTTTATATTGCTCTGCTCTTTGTCTTGACAAGACTTGGAAAAGGAGGCTCAGCAAGGCTGAAAGGAGTCAGGAGCCTTCCAGCTCTGCATGAACTGAGAACTGTGGACTCTGCTAAAAACACCAACCTAAATCAAATCACAGACAGAATTCATTTCAGTCAACCCAGGGGGAAATCAGCAGCATCCCAAAAAGGAGATTAATAAAATCTCCTTGCAATTCTGAGTGTTCAGGAGACAACTTGCAGCACTTCTCTGGCTCACCCCAGCCATGCACGTGCCGCCCTGAGCTTTCCCTGATGTTTGGAGTCTCCAGTGGCGGTGACACACCAGCATTTGGAGTTAAAAAAGCAGGGAGGGAGCCCATTAAGCTGAGGAGAGCTGGCAGAACCCGAGCACGTTCCCCTCACCTGACGAAGCTG